TATAAATTATATAGACTCTAATTATATTTTTTTTAAATAAAAAAATAAAATTTTGAAACCATTCAAATAAATAAATACATTATATAAATATTTTTTTTTTAAATATTTTGTCATGAGGCTGTCTCGAACCGTTGCCCTTAGAGAAGGAAACATGAACCTTACAAAAGTGGTTAAAGCCACTTGATCCGATGGGTCAGGTTCCATTATATAAATAATTTTTTTTTAAACAAATTCACAAGGAATCAGATTCGAACTGTTATCTTAGGGTGAGGGAATACACTTATACGTGGCCTGATGTCATTGGACCCGAAAGCTCAAGTGCCATTATATAAATAATTTAATAATGTTCAACTCCAATAAATAAATACTACTATGTAAATGGTAATTAATTTATTGAATTGAGCTTGAAGAAGATGGGAGAGGAAATTAGATTGATCAATCTAAATTACATTAGGTGAATAAAAATTAATTAATAATATAATTATAAATTTATTTATTTATTTATTTATCATATTCTAATCCTCACAAATTCTTATAAAGTGGAAGAAATTTCTGTAAAACTTCGTGGAAAGAAATTGCCTCTTTCCTCACTTGACGGGGCGAAAATTCTTTGAATTTCCATTGCTGCAGCCGGTCCCGACAAAGTTCAATGCTTTCGGCGGAAATTCCCATTTCTAGGGAAGTGTGCATTCACGCGGCAGCAAGTCAACATTACCCAAGTCCTTGTGGGGAAGAAGATTCTTCGAATTTTCATCCCCGCGGTAAGATCCCAGCAGAGCTACCGTGGGTTTCGAAGGAAATTTTCATTCCTAAGGAAGCCTGCTTTGAACGCGGCAGCAAGTCGGTATTACCTCTATATAAATCGCGGGACTCCCCCAATTCTTAGCATCCCATCTCTACAACATCTCTTGATCTTAGAAATGGCCTCCATGTCTTACACATACGAGGCGTTCAACATTGCATTCAAATTTCTCTCCACCTCCGCCTCCTTAGCCGGAATCTGGATGCTCCTCCGAACCGCGGCCGGCGAGGTCATTCTTGACGAGCTCAAATCTTTCTTTTTCTTCTTCTTTCACTACCGCTTTCCCTCTACCAACCTCACTTTCGTCATCCACGAACCCAGCAGCATGCCAAGAGATGAAGTCTACGATGCCGCGAAGCTCTATCTCGTAGGCAAGATCAGCCCCAAAACGAAGCGGCTCAGGCTCGGCAGAACCGAGAGGCAAGAGCATTTCGCCTTCTCAATCGAAAAGGATGAAGAGATCGTCGATACTTTTGACGGAACTGAGTTCAAATGGACGTATAAAACCATAGATCGTGAGGATGTCGAAGAAAATTTCTTCGAACTAACTTTCAACAGGAAGTTCAAAGATAAAGTCCTCAACTCTTATTTAGGTCATGTTTTGAACAGTGCTAAAGAAATCGAAGAGAAGAACAAAGTGGTTAAGATCTATAGTCGTCACTTACGTCGCAACCGTGATGATGCCTGGGGTTCCATGATTCTTGGGCATCCAGCCACATTTGATAATGTAGCCATGGATCCGAAGCTGAGGAAGACGATAATCGATGATTTAAATAGGTTCATGGAGCGTAGGGCGTACTACAAGACAGTGGGGAAGGCCTGGAAACGAGGGTATTTGTTATACGGCCCTCCAGGTACTGGAAAATCGAGTTTGATTGCTGCCATGGCTAATCACCTCAACTTTGCTATATACGATATGGAGCTTGCAACTATGTCCAGCGATTTAGACTTGAAAAGAGTATTGTTAGCAGCACCAAGCAGGTCAATTCTTGCAATCGAGGACATGGACTGCGGCTTCAAACTTCCAGACAGAGAAAATTACTGGGCATCTGATAAATCCCAGAGAAAGGTGGGGACCATTTTTGGGTTTGATTAAAGACCATTAGTTTAGTTCAATCTTTTAATAATGTTTGAGATTCTAATTCCTCTGTTTTTTCTCCCTGCAGTTAACGCTATCTGGCCTGTTGAATTTCATTGATGGACTGTGGTCAAGCTGTGGGGACGCGAAAATCATTGTGGTCACGACCAACAACAA